ACTTCGAGTATAGCTCTTCAGATTACAGATGGAAGAACTCGGGATTGATTATGACAAGCCAATGATGTTGTACTGTGATAATCAGGCTGCCATCAACATTGCCCACAACCCCGTACAACATGATAGAACTAAACATATTGAGGTTGATAGACACTTTATTCGAGAAAGAGTCTCTTCAGGTGAAGTGTGTCTTCCATTCATTACCTCTGATGGACAATTGGCAGATTTCCTCACCAAAGGTCTTCCCAAGGCAAGGCTTCTGCATGACATTGGCAAGCTGGGCATGATTAACATCTATGCTCAGCTTGAGGGGGAGTGTAGAGAAGATGGGTCGAATGGCCCATAGGCGTTACTCTATATTATCTTTATGTTCTTCTCTGTAATGGGCCTTATTCTGGGCCCATACTCTTCTATGTTCCTTTTTTGTAATTTCTTGTTCAACTAAGGACCTCTCTTGTAATTACTCAAAGATTAACTTAATAAAAGAGTATTAGAGTGTTAGAGGGAGGTTTAGTTCGAACTCCTCATCCTCTAACTCTCTTTGCCGCAGCTCTCTCTCTCTCTCTCTCCTTCTCTAATCTTCTCTTGTTAGTTTTTCTGGTTTTCTTGCACAGTCCCATACTTCTAGGACTGTTACTTTCTAGGGTGGACAGCTTGTTCAGATGGATACCTAGAGAAACTGACTTAATTGATTAGGTGAGGGGTTGAAGGGTATGTGTGTATTGGGGATTGACCATCCCTGAGCAGCTTGTTGTATTTATTTTTGCCTTCTTAAGGGTGGTATCTTTCTAATTTTGGGTATCTTGTATGTATTCCTTCAGCAAGCATTAAAGACCAATTGTTGATAGTAGACAGAATGCATAATGTATGGTCTAAGACACCCTTCTTGTGTAGGCTAGGCCCCATCCTACTTACCCTTTTATAATTTTCTTACCTCCTAGGAAAGAAAACCCCAAAACATGTGATTTCCTTGCACACCCTGCCTAGCTATCATATTTTCTAGGTCATTGCCCAACCTCTTAACCCATTTTACACTTGCTGCCAACTCCTCAACTAGTCTCTGCACCTTTATCATGTTGTCTCTATGCTTCAATGCATCTTTTTGCTTGTTTTTAAGCCATTCCACAGCTACCTTAGTCCCCTTCCATAATTAAATTGCCATAGTTGAGTGGTCTTTCCATTTTCAGCCCTTGTAGCACTGCTAATATTTCTGCTCTGGTGGAGTTGCCATAGGACAACAGAAAATATGCCTAGCACTGTCCCTAAATTTACCACCAATGCCAGAAATTCCATGTTCCCAAACAAGCAACTTTCAAAATTTAGCTTTATTTTTCCACTGAAAGGTGGGCACCGCAACAAAGAAGCTATAGGAGCTACTCAAATTGTATTTATTCCTTGGTATATCTTCTTAATAGTGCATTTTGCCACTTGCCAGTCCAAGCTTCCATTTCTAGGCAAAGAAGAAAAAAGTTGATGAATCGATCAGACGATCAATTAATCCAGGTGCTCAAGGCAGGAGCTCTGAGTGTGGAAGGAGGGAGAGAAGTGGAAGAGTGACTGGACTATAGAGGATCAATAGGGACAGATCCCAAAAGATTGAAGCAAGATGATGTTTAGCTGGAGAAACAGGTTGAAGATTGAAGCAAAGAATTTCCTACTTGAGGAAGCTAGAATCAAAGGGAAACCTGCAGTAAAGATTGAGTTTAAGGTAGCATTGGTACTGCTAGTGGGAGATGCTATAGACTGGTTTGGAGGATTTATAGTGGGTGCAATTTCTTCCAAAAGGGATGGTGAATAGAAAGCAATGGAAGAAGTTGATGAAAGATGATATTTTGCAGAAAGAAAAAGGAATGATAAAGTTTCATTGCTCTCTGTCAATATTTTGGGCAAGGGAAGAAGAAATCAGTTTGCTTTCCTGAAAGAAATGAAGGTGTAGGCTGGGCAGAGATTCTCAAGCAATTACAAGAGTTTTTATTGTATCTAAAAGGCAGTCTCTTAGCTCTCAATATTGGGCAAGAAATTGAAAAAGAAAAAGCTTACAGGATTGAAATAAAGCAAAAGGAAAAGGTTTTAATGGCGAACTATCTTGGGTCAATCAAAATGGATCATAAATAAGGGTAAGGAACAATGGGAAAAATTACTAATATTATAGCAAAGGAAAAGATCGAAGACTGGTTAGCAGTAGGCAAGGTTAGTATAGATTGTTGAGATTGAGAGGGTCGATTACGGTGAGTCCTTTTGACATTAACAAAGTGGTCTTGGATTTCCTGGAGGTAGAGATTGCAAATTCTTTGTTTCAAACTAAGGTTGGTTAGGTTTTAATTTCAAGATGGTGTCCAAGTTTGAACTCTATGTTGGAAGGTTGAAGCTAGAATTAGTTAGGGTTTTTGATCTGCCTTTCCATCTTTGGCAACGAGTAATCATTGAATCAATTGTTGCAGTTTGTGGGGGTTGTTTGAGAGGATATTTTTGTATGGGGTCTTCACTCTGTGATGCTAAGTTTGGCAGGTATGAAGCCTGAATTCATCCCCAGGAAGATCAAAGTTATCTGCAATGGACTGGTTCATACATTTTGGCTTGTAATGTCCATTGAAGCTGCTCTGTGGAGGGGAGTTGTATGGTAGAATACAAATATGTTGAAGAATTTGAATAACGTGGCACTTCCGGATTGGTTATTTCAAATGATCTAAGAAATGTCGAGTGATGACTGGGAGGGTTTGAAAGGAATAAAGATCTGTCACCAAAGTCTTAATTTTAGTCATGCCTTGGAAGACGAAACACATGGAGGTGGTGGTTCCCATACGCAAATGTTTACTTTTTAAGGAAATGAAGCATGGCCAAAGGTTAGTTTGAACTGGGACTTTTTTTTTTCTTTTTTGAGGAAAGGTAAGGTAAACTTTATTGATAAGAAATACTAGTACAAAAGCCCCCCAACGGAACACGGAACACCTTAGATGGGGAAACAGCCCAAACATAACAAGATTACTGATGCCATAGGCTCCTAGAGTTTAGCCTAGCCCCCAACTGAGCAGCCTGATTTCCCTTCGAAGCCGAGACCCAAGAAATCAACTTTCCAAAAGAAATAGATATCAGGTCTTCCGGATCCTTGTAGATAATCTGAAATAGTCTTTTGTTCCTTTCTGCCCAAATGGTACTGATGACTGCAGCCGGAATGTACATCCACACAGCTGAAGCAAGCCTTGACAATCCCTGTAACCCCCAGCTCCACAACATCTCCTTCACCGAAGCTGGCATTGACCAAGCAAGACCCACCGAACCAAGAAAATGGTTCCAAATTCTAGCAGATATTGAGCAGTGCAGAAACAGGTGACTGTTATCTTCCAATCCTTGACCACATAACACACAACTCTGATCCTGAATATGAACCCCTCTCTTACATAGGTGGGCTTTAGTTAAACACCTGTCTAGATCTGCAGCCCACACCAGAGCATTGATTTTTGAGGGAGAGGTTGGTTTCCAGATTCTGGAAGCAAGCATGTCTTCTGAAGCACTCATTATCAGGTGAGTGGCAAATGACTTGACAGAGAAGAGGCCATCTGTGCTCCAAGTCCAGTACCAGCTGTCTTCTTTGAGCAGATTTAGTGGTTGAAGGGAGAGCAGTTCAAGTAGATCAGCCAGGTCAGGAATTTCCCAATCCTGAAAGTTCCTTCTGAAAGAAGGGCACCAGGCTACTGAGTTCCTTCTTAAAGGGAGAGCAGACATGTGGGTTGGTTTTCAATCATCAACTGGCCGATTCAAACCAAAGGTCTTAGTTTCATTTAAACAGTTACATGAGCTAGGTTGGGTTGTTGATAGGCACTTGGAACAGTCCATCATCATCCCCAATTGAGCCCTACTTGAATAAAAATAGTTCTAAAAGGAGCATCTTACCTTAGTTGCCTTCACCTAGCAGCAATGGTGTAAGTCCTGAGAAATCTAAACGGGGAATTAGTAGCAATATGAAAGACATAGATCTTGGATCAAAAGGGTGTTTCAAAAGCACTACTTTGGGAAAGAAGTATTCAAGTGAAAGGCTAAGGGGGTAGATGAGAAAGTTTTGTGTTGGTGCTTCAAGGTAGTGTTCAAACCACATTATAGAAGAAACCAGAAGTAAGATGATATGTCTACTCACCAAAAAGCATCTCAGAGTTCTGAACCTCACCTGATCTAAGTTGCTTTCTTGTTGAATATATTTCCACAACCAGATTTATCTGATCTAAGTTGCTTTGTCATTGGATATATCTCTGAAACCAGATCTGTGAGAGCTTCATCTACCTCTGATCTAAACCCTCTTTTCCAGATTAGTGGCTTTCTCGCTAGTTCTAAGCTCCTGCATTACCATCACATATACCAAATCTATTGGACTTCACTGTATCTGTTGGAGTTCAGTCAAGCTAAAGAGGAGGATAGGTGGAGAAACAGGGTTACTCTGCCACACACTGTATTAGGAGGTTGGAGATTGAAAATTTGTTTTCATTTTAGAAAACATAATTTTGATGGTTTCAAAAGCATGACTGTTATTTTCACTTCACAAAACAAAAAAAAGAGTTGAAGACCATTATTTTTTTTTTTTTTGATAATGTGGCAATTCTGAAAACAAGTAAAAGCAAAAACGTTCTCATTGTTGAAAACCCCCTTATTAGTGGACCCAAGCTCGGATTCAAGATGAGTCTCAGCTAACATGGCGTGAATTCACAATTGAACTTAGCTAGCTTAGTTTTTTTTCCTCACCTTCTTCTTCTTTTGTGGATAGGCAACTTAGCTAGCTCATCTCATTTACAGCTCTAACTTTAACTAGTTAGAAATATCATACTATGACATTTTTTGTTGCAATGTTTTCATTGTTATGATTCGGCCTGCCTTGGAGTTCTATTTGTCTAAGATCGATTATGTAGAAAGAGGTAGAAAGGTGGAAGAAAGAGAGAAAGAGAAAAGGAGAAAGTCTAGTTTGAATTGGAAGTCTAAAGAACATAACTCCCATTCGGCCAGACAGTGCTTTTTATTATTAAAATAATTGAAAAGACATATGTGCCCGTATTTAAGGAAGGAGCACTAGTTCTAACACAACATTACAGATCAACAACCTTAATCTAGGTATAAGGACAGAAATACCCCTACGCTAACACTCCCCCTCAAGCTGGTGAGTATATATCATATACTCCCAGCTTGTTACATATGTAGTCCACTCTTCCCCGA